GGTTTTCAGCATTGCAGATTATGAAATAATCATATTTAACTCAGGGCCTTTGTTATAAAGCTCAATCTGAGAAAATAGTTGTGCTATTACTAAAACATAATTCTGACATCAAAATATCACACAAAGTCATGATCTTTGGTAAATACTAAAGATTTTATGTTAAAGGCCAGTAAGTAATATTTTTCTGGCAGAATTCCTCAACTGGATGAATATTCATGAGTAGTACAAACTGCATTCGTGTTTGTTAAAACTTTAAAAAGAAAATTTGACTAAAATAAAGCTCTTAGCAGAAGTATGTTGTGTTCCTGATTTTAATAGCAGGCTTTCTAGACATGAATCCTTTTACTGTTTCATGGCACTATAGAAATTATGTAAACAATTTAAAGCAAAGTGCTTTTTTGAGCTTATGAACTTGAGAAGACAAGAAATAAAAAGGTATTTGCTTCCTGTAGCGTGTAACATTTATCATGTCACTGAATCGCTAAAATGAAAAGAATATATATGATGAATGGACACATGAAGTCTCAAAACTACTTATTTATTGATATAGTGGGGAAGTCTTAATGCATGGTGGGGACTCCTTAAATGCTCTCCCTTACTTACTTAGATAAAATGTCTTCCTGGGCTTGGCCTACTGGACAAACTTGAGTACAAAGGAAGGTTTATAGATTTAATGCTGGGACCAAAATAACTGCTTGCTGTGAAAAGTAAACTGTTTGAAAGACTAAAGGAAATAATATAATCCTATTAGGGGTTGGTAGCAATTTGAAAGTCTATTCTTTGTTTTGAAATTTTGATGTTATCATATGTTCTGCAGTTGGTACTCACTTGGGCTGCATACCCCCCTCTTTTTCAAACCCAGTTAGTAAATACTGGAGTATACATACAAAAATAGCTGTTCCTCTTTGTAAGCACGGCTTTGATCTTTGCACTTCCTTTTTACTTCTACCTCTTAAACAAGATCATCTGTGATGCTTGAGTTGCAGTTGATTAAAGCTCAGTTAGTCTGAAATAGGCAGACTTTTCGATTTAGTGATCATATTCCTTATGTTACTTGTCATTATTCCTTGAAAGAAATTGAAGCTAATTTCAGAAACAAACATTTAGGCAGGTTGCTTTAGTATACTTTTAGACTTGCCGATAATCAATGAAGAAAGTTACTGCCTTGGCTTTCAGGGACTGCTCATTGTGGTAGACATGAGGTCTGGAGAAGGGATGGGCAGCTACATGGATCTGGGACTATCATTACATCAGTAAGTCCTATTTTTACCTAATTTATGAGAGGTATTCCCCTGTTCAGAAGAGGTGAAAGTTCTGGCTTGGGAGGGAAGTGGTTACTTCATAACCTTCATTTGGTTTGAACTCGAGAGAAAGCAAGAAAAACAGTTGACATTTTAAAACAATAAGTTAAAATAATTCTACATGCCCATCTGTGTTGCTATATAGATTTTTCATAAAATACTCAAAATATCAATTTCACCGTCCAGACTTAGTTATGTCCTGTTCCGAGCATGGAGTTGACTGCAGCAGGAAGTGTATCTGGAAATGCACTGTACTGTAATTTAACCACAGGAGAAAATATGCAGATATGTTCTTCTAGTCTACAGAGTCAACAGAAGTCCTGTTAACAGGAAGGCATGTGTAGGAATCAATCAATGGCTATGCAGAATTTCTCTGAAGTTTGTCATACATTCAGCAGGATGTTTGTTTTATTTAGATGGTTTTGGTTTTCTGTGACTTATATAAAGTAATGGGATTGTTGTAGTAGAAGAAAAGAAGGAGAAGGAAGACTAGATCTTGGTGCTAGAGACCCTTTTCGGTGTTCTGCTTCTGCGCTTACCTTTGTGACTGATCAGCATCCGTTGATAACTGCTTCTGGTGACAGGAAGCCTCACCAGAGTCATTGACTCTGCTTTGTGGGAATTCTCATTTGTTCTCTTGTACCTTTCAAAAATGCTGAACTCTCCTATAGTGTTCTTGGAGGTGAGCAGGTAAGTCATCAGGAACATACTTTGTATGACCCTTTGAACTGATTCTGTCACTATTCAGGAGACCCTAAGGCTTTGGGGGGACTAGAGGTATTCAGTGTTAGGAAGGAATGATTGGGCATTTTGTCACAGACGGG